TATATATATATATATATATATATCACAGTTTCTAATTCTTGAAGAAATCCATTAACACAAATGACTTAAAACTTAGAATAACATACAACATACCCAGAGAAAAATATATACAGAAATTTTGAAGATATCTTACTTTCTGCATGATTTTTCTGTTAGATTCTTGTAAGCATTGATCACTTCTTCTGCCCATTCTTTCATATAACTTACAGCTTCCTGTATTAAAATAAAATTTAAATTTGATATAACTATGGTTAACATTATCTTTATTTCTAGAGCTCTAAACATACATATGCACATATAAAATATGACAAAGTCCTTTTGATTATATCTGATAGCCTAAGGATGGGATCAGTATCACTCATAATGAGGTACATCCTGCTCACACAAAACATTAAAGTACAAAGAACTTATAAAAAATATTTGAAAAATTAACCCAAATAAAGATATTTCAATTATCTAAGTTAACAGCCATAATATTTCTATATTACCTTTTAAGACTTCAGTAGAAAGCACTTACAAAACTCATGCTGTGTGTTTTGAATCCATGCAGTGTGTGTTTCAACTGATACAGCACAAGTCCAAGACATTTTCTTTTAAATAATCTGTTTTGTAATGATCTTCACAGGCACACATTACATTTACAAAAGCAGAAAAATATTGCATGTGATTTACAGTAATTAACACACTGTAGTTTAGTTTAACTAGCTTTATCCCTAATTTCACCAGCTTAATAACAAAATATTCCTTTGTTTTTCACAAAAGATATATTATTTCTATGAATATCTAGTTATTAAAAGCAGTTTTAATCTTATTGAATAAATAATATGAACATTTTTTTAAGTTTTCTTGTTACTACCACTTTTTCATGACAAAATTATGCTATACTTTTAAATCTTTCTTCAAATAATACAATGGAACCAACTAAAGTTATAATAGATACTTACCTCATCTCACTTAATAGCTTTTCTCGTTTAGTGCTGTCCTCTATGTGTGCAAATTGTTCACTTGCCACTAGCATTGAAACTCCCACCTACCCTGTATTTCATTTTGGTTCGGCTGCACTGTAGCATGAAAATCATCGTTCAACAACTCTCCTCCAGTAACAGTGCAACGCAACCTCCTGTTGCAGCTGTCTCCCACTATACTGTAGAACCCAACCTTCACTTCTAGGTTAGGCACCAAATACACACACGAAGAGAGGAGGAAGAGCAGGAAGTATAAGAGGAGGTAAGTATCTATCAGAAATACATTTTGAGTGTAGGAAAATTATAACTTCCAATACAATACCCTACCTCTCCTCACACAGTAACTAGGATCCCACATTTAACTGATGGAGAGACCAGTGTAAATTTACATAGATTAACTCCCTTCAGAAAGCATCCAAAGAATGGCCATGGAATGTGACATCTCTTAGTAGAGGAACACACCAATAGGTGACAGCACCACATCTGAACCAGGTATACTCTTCACCCAGTGTGAATTTATGTGCCATTAAATTGGGTGAAAAAGGTACACATCCAATCTAAAATATGATGTGCCAAATAGTATAGAAATAGTATAGTCAGACCATAATCAGTGGATAAACTACAGTCCAAAACCAGGTGGCATCAGGTGTACCATCTGATCCATGGTAGGAGGCGGGTTCCTATCATTTCACCTCAAGACAAGGAAGCAGAATGGAAAATGGGTTTCGTTCTGCCAACGTAGTCCTGTGACATGTGTGCAAACTCATAACAAACACCAACCACCCAGAGGAGTGCATCATGATGGTTCACTCAAATCCATAACTTGGCAGCATTGAAAATTTATCACTTAGTTTGCAGTAGAACAAGGGCTCCCTACCATCACGTGTGACAACTTATGTTGGCTATTTCAGTTTTAATCCAAGACCAAACCATCCGGGAACTGACATCCAGGCGACAGTAGGATGAGTGTTTCCAGTCAGAAGGGTGAACTGCATTTTGGTGGATCATCTTTAGTTCATAACCAGACAGCATTGGGTATTTCTCTTCCAGACCAAGGTAGGAAGAGGGGTTTACACCATCTACACTGACAGAACAACAGAACACTACAGCCCTACTCTTAAACTGAATGGGATTGAGCACATTCAGGGGTAAACCTCCATAGTCCAGCAACTAATAAGTGGCAAGGGCTCCCTTACTCCACTGGAAACAGTGCAATAGACGACTATGAAACCCTATTTTGAAAAGCAGACCGGTCTTGATTTATTCAATCCAGGATCATAGGGATGGGCATATATCCTAACAATGCTTTACTCATGATAGTCCATGAGTTAGTAATGTCTGGGACAGACATATTTTTGAAGTAATATACTGCAAGGTGAATCTACCAACAGTCTTGCAGAACACTCCATCTTAACAGGGAACATTATAGACCTAAAAGTGTGTACACTGTGGACTTGGTGGCTGGTCCAGCTCCTTTTCAAAGCCACATCATGGAAACTGATCTCCAGGAAAAGGTAGGATGGGGTTTCCCCAGCCAAAGTTGACAGGCACTACTCGCCATTGAGACAAGTTTCATGACTCTGTAAGAGAAAAAAGAAATATAAGACACACTTATGCACTCACAGATAAATCAATGTTTGGAATATGGCCACAAGCAGTACTCGACATCTAGATGAAGAGGAAATGGGCACATGACGCAAGTAATGGGAGATGAAGGTGTTCAGTGTAGTCACTATACCAACTAGGATGATTTCCTCCAAAGAACAATGGAAATGAGCAGCCACAGAAAAGGTAAGGTGTTGAATCTGATGAGAGGACACCCAGAAAAAATACTGGAAATTGTAGACCAGGAAGAATAAGCCAATCTGATAAGTTGGCAAATCCAACCTGTAAGGGTGGTAGGTGAAATATAAATGTGAGAGGAAGGGTTCTAATGGATAACAAAATTGGAATGGGAGCCACAGAAGGAAGCTGTGCATGGAATATAACACTGAAGAGCATGCACAGGACACAGAAGCATAGGACAAGAAGGACAAAGGATCCAGAAGGAATGTAACTAAAGAGAGGTGAGCAGAGAGTAAAAACACTCTACAGGAATGGGGAAAAGGGAACATGTTAGACAAAGCTGCTCGATACCCAGTATTGGTAGACAAGGAAAACATTTGGAGTATGAGGAACTCTAGGACAGGAAAGAAGGTAACCATAGTGCAGAGACTACCTGTGAAAAACATACCATTCATTTTCTCTGGTACACCAGTAGGGAGAAGGAATGTATGGAATGTGATAGGATGAATGTTACACGTGCTGAGAGTTCAGACTGCCTCACAAGGAACCAAACAAAAACCATGCTTGAATCCTGAAGGTGGTGACTGCGAGATGATATAACTTCGATTGAGGTTGATGAAGGAGGAACTTGAAAAGAGGAAGTGGTAACGTAGGTGTAGACAGAAGAAGGATAAGGACAGGAAACCAAGACTGAACTGACCATAAATGTGCAACTAAAAGGACCTGACACGGAGAGGATTGTATAATGGATAACACATGAAGAAGGAAGTGGATAAAAGGGTAGGCATACAAGTAAAGGTTGTACCAATCCTGGCTGAATGCATCCACTCCCAAAGCCAAAGGATGTGGTACTGTGGACCAAAAAAAGGGGTAGCTTGGCAATGAGATGAGTGGCAAGTGCATCCAGGAGAGGGGTACTCCTATGGTCACACAACCATAGGAACACACTTGGAAATCGAGTGGAAGCATCCACTAGTTATATTTTTGAAAGACATTTCATGAGAGTTGTGTAAAGTTCTTCTGACCAACGTAAATCATTCCCAACAGGTTAAACATAGAGGAGAAGGCTGGGCTGAGGAATGAGTTGAAAAACACTCCCAGGTGGGCAAGGTATTGGGTCTGGATAAGAAAGGGTTTCTCAAACTTGAGGAACCATCTGACATGAGTCACTTCTTATAGAAGTAACTGAATGTGTGCATGAGCTGTTAGTTAGGATGAAATTAACAACAGCCAGTCATCCACATAGTGGTGAAAGCACAAACCATGACTATGAATTAGTCGAGCAAAGTCTTTGTGACCACCAACCAGAAACGTAGGGTGCAGACATCAGCCTGAAAGGTAAAGTACAGAATTGAAAAAAACCGACCTTTATAGAAAAAATAGAGGAGGTAATGCCTATATGTTGGGGAAGTAAGAACGTGGAAGTAACCATACAAGATGCATACCTTCATCATCCACAGACATGGAGTAAATGCGCACTGAAATGTTAGGGAAATCTCCATTGTAAAAGAATGAAGGTTGATGAAGAGGGTTGAGACGTGGCAGATCTATAAGTGGATGACAGTCCCTGGTCTTCTTGGAAACCACAAACAACCTGGAATAAAATCCTAGAGAAGGGAGATTTACAGGTTTTATAGTGTCATTGAGTAGTGTTTGAACAGCTTCCAAAAGATATTGGCAAGAAATGGGATCCCAAGGAGGTGGGATGGGAGATGGGAACTTTGGGTGAGGTTTCAGAAATTGAAGTGATAAACCTTCTGCCAACACCCAAAGCACCCAAGGATCTGAAGTAAATTTGTTCCATTGATGTATAAACCTAGCTAAATGTGCTCCTGCCTTGCCAGAACCCACAGGATAGTCACTGATACCATTGACGACATGGACCTTGGTGATAAGACAACTGAATACAAGAAGCCGAAGGTAAAGGTACAGTAGGAGGCAGACAGAAAAATAGGGATGAGATGAGATGAAGGCTATCAGAGGCAAGAGATCAAAGACGAAATGGAGAAATGTTGGCAAGCACCTTAGACTCCAATGAGTTGGGAAGGTCTAAAAAAAAACCATCTATCTCAAACACAGCACTATCCATAGGTCATGTAAGTAGGATGTGTGCAAGCAGATATTAGTTAACAATGCACTCCTACCAAAAAATTCCCAACAACAGAAGAGCCATGTTTGAGAGGAAATAGCTGAGGAAGATAACCATACCAACATACAAAACATAAGGAATTGACTATCCTCTGAAAATGCTGTGGAGGATTTGGTGGAACATCTCAGTAAGGAGATGAATGGAGGAGAGGTAACAAAGGACTGTGGAAAAAGTCAAATGGAGGTAAGATAATTGGTTACGGGAAAATCTCAAAGAAGTATCAGGGTCAGAAACCCATACTTGCATTAAAGACTCGAACTATTGGGAGACTAAATACAGAAAATCGGCCTGATGATATGCCCAAGCATGCTGACAACTCAATGCAATTTCAACAGAAATCAGTCAGCATGGACCCTGATATCTGGAAAGGGAGAAAAAACTAGGTAATCGAAAGAAGGGGCAGAATGTAGGAAGGAATGAGAGGATCATATGAAATAGGGGTAGAGATAAAAGTAAAATATACTTGTGATACTGTATCCACAATAGGAAAACGGAATTGCACAGCTATTCAAATTATCGTGACCTTGCCCAGATTCTCCCCAAAAAGAAATATCAGGCCTAGGCTGAAGAGATACAGCTGGCCACATGAAAAACTAATTTCCATCAAACTAAGACAGAGACCTTCTCAGCCAAAAGTGTAGAGCCTGATGCCTGAGATACAACAGGATAAAGATCTGTAGTAGTTTCACTACAGAGGTAGTGGTTTTGAGTGATATGAAATTCAAAATTCATGTTTAGCTGTAGTGAAGTAACAAAATAATAAAATACTGTATAACTGAAATAAAGAAAACAAAAAACAACAATTAATTAAGTTGTTAAACAAACAACATATGTATGTGAAATCCGAGATTTAATTCAAAAATTAACACATCTGAACACTGCTCTGCCAAATCAAGAAGTGAAGATTAAGTTCTACAGTACAGAAGGAAATGGCTGCAACAGGAGGGTGTGTCACACTCCTACTGGTGGAGGGTTGCCACATGCTCATTTGCATGGTACAATTCAGCTGAATCACGTTGAAACATGGGGTAGTTGGGAGTTTCTAGGCTAGTAACAAGTAAAAAAATTTGGGCATATAGAGGGCAGCACTGAACGAGAAAAGCTATTATGTGAATGAGGTAAAGTATTGTATCAGAACTTTCATGTCATGAAGGTTTGAACACAAAATAATAATTATTGGACACAGAGTATTCGTTTCTTTTATATTTTCATTGAGCTTAATCGTAATAATTAGTCATTCCTTCATCACATGTAGTACAGTATACCTTCTCATGTTCTTTAAAAAATTTTACTATATACTGTTTTGAGCTTATGCATAGGAAAATACAGACTGAGGTTGACTAAAAGTCCAAGTGTCATTATAAAGAAAGTTCAAGAACATATAGCTATATATATATATATATATACACAAGCATACATACAATTTAAAAATAAATGCATTTACCTTGTCATTTTCTTTTATATTTCTTAAGATAATCGCAAGCAGTAAACTTGGATGAAACTTTCCTAAATTCATCACTTTTGAGAGATGTGACAAGTCTGTCAGATACAAGAAACTCCTTGCTAAAAGATGATCACACTTGCATAGTTCTTCAATATTGATGAAACTAATTTAAAAAATATAACATTACTCTTTAGATGGCAATTATCTTTACTATATAAAAGTGTAAAAACTGTAATGCTTACTAAAGAAAAAGATAATTATAATTCACATGGAAAACAAATTTAAATCACAATAATATTTAATCAACATTTTATTTTTTTAACAAGTAATTGTGACTATGAAGCTGTTATTATGACTGTTAGTTATCACAAAGTGATAGTGTGAAACATAAGGAACTCCAAGAATTTGGTATTGAAAGAGAACTTTTAGGTAAAATATTTCAGACCACATAGCAGATACAAATATTTGTATGACATGATATATATTAGAACATTTTGTGTCTTAAATCTATGAATAAAAAACTACCAGTGCCAAATATAAACAGGATCATTTTAGACAATATCTGTACAAACCTGTGTAGGTAATTTTTACAAAGCCAATTCAAAATATTTTTAGTATCTTGGAAAATTCTCTTGTACACAGCCTGTAAATCTGATTATTGATATTCTTACGACATCGAGGTCACGTGACTAGTATCACGCCACGTCATTCTCG